CTCTCTTTTTATAGCACACAGATGAAATCATGGTCACGCTGCAATCAGAGATAGAGTAATCATTTTGTAAATACTGAAAGTCAAGGGAAGATTAAGCTTTGGTTTCAGTGTTAAGTCTGTTGAGATAAACTGGGAGAGCTTTTGTTTTAGGTTTTTTACCAGCCCAGGGGGACAACAGTATGGGGTTTATGTTCTCTTCCTGCATGGTTTTTTTTTTCCCTAGAACCATGGTATCAAGTGTTTTATTTTATGAAAGTGCATGAGGCACGGGCAAAGTCCTTCCATGGTATATGTAGTTGCAGCAAAAGTTCTGGTGTAATTTATTATAGTGCTCCCCCAGGGTTGCATCATTAAGTGGTTCATAATTCTGTGGTGCTGTCTGCAAAGACATGGAACAAAACGGTATCTGAATCAGAGAATGCAGGAGTGATGGAGCAAATAAGAAGTACAGAGGTAGATGCAGAACAGAATTTTGGCTATGGCTGGTGGTTTCACTGTAGGAAAAACCCGTAGGATCAGTGCATCTATTACAGCTGTGTCTGCTGAGGCTGAATATGCCTTTACCAGCGATCGCTAAATATTTAGGCAATCATCTGAGTGTGCCCTTCCTTTCATCACATTGAATGAAGTACTCTTATGAAGTGCAAGAGTTGTTGATAACCAGAACTCTGTAGCAAATTTAATGCTGACTAAATTGCAGGAGTGACAGCATCATCTATAATCAGATTGACAGGGGCTCTTCAAATGTTACGGCCCATCAGGATTCCCTTTCTCAGACACATAGGAAATTTTTCACTCTAAACCAACACTTACTAAAGCGTATTAAACACTTAAATTACCATGTAGTATTCCATAGATTTCTTTTTTACTCCATCTGCAAGCTCCTTCCCTCACTCCTCACCCCAGAAAAAGGAGCTGATGCAGCATCTCTTGCTCCTGTGTTGTAGCAGACTCACAGATGGCAACTTCCAGAGGCAATGGAGACTCTTGCTTCACTTATAACTCCCTGTTTTGCCCCAGCGGCCCCTGTGCTGACCAGCCACGTTGTTCTGATGTGGACTCAGATGAGAATACCTTCAAATGTCTCCAGCTGTAATGTTTGTCTTCTAAACTTCTAAACTTCTTCGTGTGTTTCTAATACATGCCACCACTGCTAATCCGAACACACGAAAACTTCCAAGAGTATTCATTCTCTATTTCTGCGGTGTGTTATATGGAATTATTTTTACTAAGATATGATATGATCAAGGAAATAATATTAAGGCTTTTTTTTTAAGGTCTAATTTTGGGAAGGATTTAAAAGAGCCTTTGGGCATGTAGCTCTCAAAGCTAAAATCCACGGTCTTAAATTTCTAAAGACTTATGAAACAACTTGCTCTTGCAAGTTCTGCTGAATACAATACCTCATTAGTGCTGCAGGTGATGTGATAGTGCTCTGCAACTGCCTGGAGACAGCACACAGAAGGGGGCGAGGGGGGGGAAAGTGTAATTACTTAAGTAACTACGAAGGTGTTTCCACCATGTCAGAAATATGCCAAATGCAGATGTAGATAATTTCAGCTAGTATAATTAAAGCCACAGCTCGCACTGTCTAAAACAAGAATAAAATACCAGTGCTGGTTCTTTTTTGCATTTGCAGTCTAAGTCTTGGGAAGTTAATTGTCTTTTCATCAGCGTGTGGACACAGTCTAAAAGACAGCATCAGTTTCTCCATGTGGTGAAACTTCTTTACAATGGGAATGAGGCTCACAGTTCTACATTAAGCCAGCCAACACATTTTAAAAATTCCAGTTAATTGCTTTTGGATCAGAGGAACCCAGCTTAACCGAATGAACTGCAACCCACCTACATTACGACATTTTCCAAATGGCTTGGTATGTGGATGCAGTATTTTTTAAAAGGATTCCGAGTAATGTATGACTCTTAGAGCAGCTTTTAATTATATTAGTTCAAGCAGCTGGAAGTTAAGTTGCCCTTTTCCGTAAATTCAGCTGGGCCATAAGAATTACTTCAGCTGTGAAATGTGAAGCCATCTACTTCAGAAGTAAATTTTCATTTCCAGTTTAGAATTGTAAACAAATTTAAAATGTCCTTTTAAAGTGCCTGAATAGATAAATATGTAATTCAGAGCACATTGCAGTGGAATGGTGTCTGTAATTACAGCGATGCCCTACACAGCGTATCTGGAGAAGCACATGAAGAGCCCAACAAAGAACAATTATATACTGACTAATAACGCATTTCATGAGTATACATTTACAATCCCTGCTTAAGAGGAAGCAAGTGTGCCCTTGTGCCATTTTCTGATGTGGAAGTACCCGACCCCGCCAGCCTCCTTGGGAAGCAGCTGCCGGAGGAGGCTCGCAGGAATTCATGGGAACCGAGCTCTGGCAGGCACCGGGCTGTGAGATGTGGAGAGCAGCTGTCTCTCCCGGAGGACTGATCAAATTAATCAGTTGATAGGGAGTATCTGGCTTTGCTGAGAGGCAGACACTCCTGGATCCGGCCCCGTCGCGTTCCTAGACCTGCAGGAGCCAGGAGACGCTGGCTCTTGCAGGGCCTAAGAGTTGTCTCCGTGGGGGAATTGAGAGTTTCCTGGTCTGTGAAGCTGGCAAAAGCTTGTGCCTAGTACAAAGGCAAGAGTCTACTGATAAGGATGGCCAGCTTGTCTTTTGTGAACAGTCTGTCCATTATTTACCACGCAGTAGAACGGAAATGATGACTCACTAGCTAAGCTAAAACGCTAAACTATACATGATGTAGCAAATGCTGTGGCCCCAGGAGAAAAGCAGGTAGCCTCACCTTGAAGGCCTGAGGGCTGGCTTTGGGTGATGCCCTCGAGGGTGCCGAAACCTCTCTTGCAGGCTGCAGAGGCAGAGCTGTTCAGTTGCTCCTTGAGCCTTTTTATGCTCTTCCTTCTTAAAGGGTAGCTCCACACCTACAGTTGGCCTGTTGCACCCCATTAACTTAGACATTTAAGTTAGTTTGTGTATCTAATGCATGTGTTCAGGCTGGCAGTTGTATGCATGTTCCAGTATTGTGTCCTGTGATTCATACACATAAGCTGAGGAGTTTTTTCATTTGTGTTTTTTTTTTTTTTTTTTTTTTTTTTTTTTTTTTTTTGTTACGAGCTTTTAGGTCTTAGAATCAGAAGTGGGTGTTATAATGGCTTTGTTTCTACTAGAGCTTCTCTTCTTTGCTCACTTAATTTGCTGTTAGTGCAATGCTGAACTCAAGTATTGTGATTTCCTTTCATAATTTTCCTTAATTATGTAGAGAGGTTTGATTATCAAAGCTTCAAAACATTAGAATATTGTGACATAGGAGGAAGGTGTACATAGATAACAGAAATGTGCCTCGGGCTATGGAAATGGGAGCTCTGATGTGCTCTGAAATCCCACTGACTTCTGCTTGAAGCAGGAAACTTTAATGCAATATCCCTTCATAAGTGCTAAGTATTTACACATAATTAAGTACTACCACTCCACCTTCTGGGTTGAGTAGTATGAAAAAATATGAGATATTTAGACACCAGTTCGTCAGAACTCCATAATGAAGGGTGAATTCGTTGTATTTGCTTTGCCATTTTTTTTGGAGCTCAGACTAAATAGGATTTGCAAATGAGGGAGGAAAGAGAACACAAGGCTGTTTGAAGTAAACAATTACTTAGTATACCTGGTGCTGTTAAGTTGAACAAAATGTCAGTTGAGACATGCTAAGTGGAAAAAAAGAAACAAACAAAACACCGAACAATGAAACTGCAGCTCCACACAGCTGGATTATTTTCACTTCATAAGAAGAATCAAAGTCTCAGATTGGGACTAATTATTAGAAGCTGCAGATCACAAGGACTAGTAGGCAAATATTTCAATTAAAAATAATGAACCTATTGGGGAAAGATTTTAAATGTTGCTAGAACATTATTTATTGGAATGGTGATCCGGCACTTGCTGAAAGTCACCATCAACCATCTTCCTTCCAGATTTTGTACTTGGTTATGGAGTTACAGCAGTCTCTGTAGTCTGAGCTTCTGAGATTATACTTCTGGAAAAGTTGTTTATACTTCTGGAAAAGATTGCTTCATGTAAGCAGTGGTAGTTGCTTATAAGTTAGCAATTAAAGAACATGTTGGGCACACAAGGCTCAGAGTTTAGTTTTAAAAAAAATGCTTATGAGATGCACTTACTGCATTTTACTGATATTTTAAACTTCAGCAAATAGCCAGATATTGTAGCAGTTTCTCAAGTGTTGTTTCTTCTTCTTGTTGCCACGAGGCAGATTAGTTTGACTATCAAACTATATTTTTACTTCTCCATCCTAAGGCAATTCCTTCATTTGTCCAGCATTTTGCATAATTAGCACTTCTAAAAATTATTTATAAATAAAGATGGTTTTAAATTTAAAATCAAAAAATTATTTGAAAATAAAATTAATCCACTATCTTTTAGTATATCATGTGGGTTTAACTCTATATATTTCTACAGATCTGTTGAATTTTGGGTATAGTCTTCATAAAGCAGTGTATTAGCACTCCTCCTACATATTACTTGTTATTCTCTGTCTTGGCTGCCTCTGCTTTAGTTGTCAAGTACTCTTTACCTCCACCTTCACCACCACCACCATACTGTATTGATGCAAACCACAGTTACACTTATTCTTGGCCGAGAGGGAACATCTGTTTTCTGTAACTCTTAGCCTGCTGCTAATGGCTTTCCACAAACTGGCTTTGGAGCAAGTGCCTGGGAGCAAAACTGCCAGGTTACCATTTTGCCTGCTATTTCTTTACTTTCCTTGCGATGGCTTGAGAAGGAAAAACTCTATTCTTCCACCATTGTGTGCAACAGGCTGCTAAAAGACTTTCTGGCTCACTGGCATGATAGGTTTAATTTTTGGTTTCAGTAGGCTTTTTCTAGGGGATCATTTATTTTCTCCAGCATGTGTAATGAGGGAAGTTTTGTACTGCAAGGAAGTAATTTTTCTTTTCTGATTTTCTTCCGTAGTCTGCCATCTTCAACTTTCAGAGTCTGCTGACTGTAATCTTGCTGCTCATATGTACCTGTGCCTACATCAGATCCTTGGCTCCCAGCTTACTGGACAAAAATAAGACTGGGTATGTAATCTCATCATTTTAAAAGTACACAAGCTGTTTGGTTTTAACTGCAATGCTTTACTCTTAGTATCTTCTAATGATGTGTGATAATACAAATCCTATTTTGGAAAATACCTCTCTTTAAAGATAAAAATCTTCATTTTATACATTACAACAGAAGGCAATATGGTATTTGCAAGCACTAGTTGCAATTTTTTAATAAGAATTTATTAACTAACAAAGGCAGCTAATTTTGTTTTATTAGTTATTTTCTAGACTTGCAACTTTCTCATTAGAGGCTTATTAAAGATACAGCTGAGTGACAGAAAACATTTTTCTACATGCAAGTATTGCTGTAATTATTTTTAATTCTTAAGGCTGGGTAAAAAAACATTAACAGCAGAAGCTGTCTGTTTCTTTTCAAAATGGGGGTTTTGGAAGTACGAGTTTGAAAACAGCTTCAGCAAAACTGTTCAGTCTGTATCTAAAAAAAATATTCAAACTACTTTTTAAAATAAGCAACACTATCCCTATCTGTGGACTCATTTTTATTTCTTAAGGAACGTTTTTGAAAGCTTGTAGAAAATCTGAACTTTTTTTTTTTTTACTTTTTTTTTTTTGGTCTCTTGGTCACTATAACTTCATCTCACACGGAAGAGAGACCTGCTTCCTAAAGCACATCTTCCTGGGTGACCAGTGTTTTTCTCCTTTGTGTTCTGTATTCCACAGTCTTCTGGAATGCGCTTAAAGTTGCGGGGCCAATACTGCTGTTAAACAGTTCTTCTCTGCCCTGCTTGGCAGCACAATTTTTGGGGTGGTGGGAAATGGGGACAGCCACAGAGCCAAATCCGTTCTTCACTTACACTGTTACAACCCATTCACCTTTTGGCTTGGTTACATTTGTGGAACAAAGAGCGTGACTGGATCATGCAATCAGCAGTGTGCAGAACTGTGATTTAAAGGCTGTGATTTTAAAGTAATGATAGAGCAGTTGTGACCAATAAACCACTGAGGCCATCCGCAGTATTTCAGTAAGACTGTCACCTAAGGTTAATACAAAGGAGATAATATTTATAGAAGTAGGAGGTAATTCTAGCTCGTAATGTTCTAGGTGGAAAAAACAGATGGGCTTTTGGGCACTGGGTGTTTGACTTGTCCACTTTTTCCATTAGATCATTTGCTGTTAAAGAAAATGTTTTTTTTTTCCTGAGGTATCTTCTGTCACTTCTGCATTTTATTTTCAGAAAAAGTCTCAAGTTTATTAAATAGAGTCTTGTCACCAAGATCCTTGAGTATTTGTCTTCTGAAAACTTTTTTTTGTGATTAACCTCGGAATTGCTATTTTATCACACAAGTTTTCTTCTAATGGTGTAAGATAGACAGAGTACACCCGCTTTTTTCGATTTGGGGTTCTAACATGAAAATTCTTGTGTCCTTTCAAATAAGGCCATGAGGTCACCACTGACATGTGAGATTTCGATAAAAGTCAAGATGGAAAGAAAGGATGACTTCATGAAGGACTTGGGGGGAGCGGGTGGGGGGGAATTTGGGTGTCTGCTAATGGAAGATAACACAATAGTCAATGAGGTATACACAGTAAGAAGTAAGAATATTTATTTTACTGATTAAAATTTTAGTGCTGTTCTTGGCAAGGAGTATTTCCTTTAATCTGGAGCTACTCTGTTTATTCTTGAGGCAAATCTGTCTGGAGTACAATAGAACTCTCTTCATAAAATGTTTTCAAAGGGTGCTGACACAGTGGAGGAGTTGGGCGTTTGATCTGTAGGTTTGTATTTATATAGATGTTGGACATTCTATTTTATTTTTGTTTTATATATACGTATGTAGACTACTTTGTACTGGAGAATAAAACGTTGGCCTGGAAGCAATGAAATTTGTTTCCTGAATGGTAGATGTTTACATGGAGCTCATATGCTGTTAAACCCCTGTCCCTCTTCACTAACATATTCCATGCTCAAATGGAAATGTCTAGACATACTGGATAAAATAAATTCTAGTGATATTTCATTTTACCACAAAGATGTTCTTACCTCATTATTCCTGCTCCAAATTAATAGCATAAAAAAGTAGCAATAAAATATTAAAGTGACAGGAGAAATGTGGATAGTTATTCACTGTATTTCTGACCGAGTGGTAACTTTGGTGAAGATTTAAATCTGTTGATAGTAAGTAAAGTTTCTGTTGGTTGAGAGACTGCGTTGCAAAGTGATGTCACCCATCCTTATAACACTGTATGTCATCCCATTTACTTCTGCCAAAATGTGTCTTTTCCTACCAAGCCAATGTTTTAAACCTTCATTTTCCCTGACGTGTCTTGAGTGTTTCCATGTGCTTTGTCCCGAGCAATAGCATTTAAGGTTGGGAAAGCAAGTGGTGATTTACTGTTTCATGCTAACCAGAGGAGAATGCGTTCCACAAGTCGATTCTCTCCTCCCTGCTAACCAGAAAGATGTGTTAGCTTTTGTGCAGCAGAGATTTCCTTTGACTTGCCCTAAGCTTTGCAGTGGGGTGTCTCTCGCTCCCTCCCGCAGTGGTGGTGAGGTTCTCCTGGCAAACACATGGCAGCTGAGTTTTGCAGCATTCCCAGTTCAGCAGCCGAAGTCTAAAACCCCCCTAGACCTTTCTCATCTTAGTGGGTTTAATTTCTTTCCATTTTTCGTTATCCAGATAACCAACACCACTTTCATGATCAATGCTTTTAACATTAGCGCTGAAAGCCAGGAATATGCAGCAGCTCGTGCACATTTGACTTGTGGCTGCCAGAAAGCAGCAGGGATGCAAGCCAGGTTTGACACGTTTCACCTGCATCAAAACAAGGATAAGGATGAACGTGAAGGGGAGAATAAGGAACAGTGGAATTACTTTGAGGAGTTGCTTCAGGAGGACTTATTTTGGAGCAGATTTCATTCAAGGCAGCATCGTTTCTGTAATAATCGAACAGGTTTTGACTTGAGGTGTGCATGTTGTGGATCTGAGATGAACAGTAATGGGAAAATTCAGGAAAGCAGAAGGCCTGCACAGGCTTTTCTTCTAATGTCAGCTCCCCACTTCATCCAGGGCCTGTGTTTATAGCTGTTTAGAAGGTCCAGATTTAAAATTGCTTTCCCTCAGCTGCAAACTATGCACATAAGCAGAGGTACCATGCTGTTCCAATAGCAGCACAAGCTTCCCAAAATGGTACTGTTGTCATCTGTTGGAAGGCTAGTCAGTCCTCATGTCAGTTGCTTTAAGTTCATAAATTCTTAACTGCAGTAAGGGTAGCTGATGGAACCCATATTCTAACTCCCACATCAGAAAGAAAAATTCATATTTTCCCCAATAACAGGTTTTTTCCAGGGCTAGGAGCAATACACAATACTTCAATTATACCTGTACATTGTTACACACAGTTGAAAAAACCCTGAGAAGGCAAAGAAATACTCTTGGTGAGGGGCAAATTCAACAGGTTTATGGACTGCCTGAAGGAGTTAATATTCTTTTTCCCAGGTCAGATTCTTCAAATATGGATATGAGAAGGACTGTAATGCTTTATTTCTCAGAGTTTCTGGGCAAGTTTTTGAGAGTTTGTAACATGAGATGCTGTTGGTTTTGCTGCATGCAATCTGTAAATCTTAATGTTACAGAGACTAACAGCAGTTTGAGAGCCTTAAGTGCCATCCAGACAGTACTATGGGGCTGTGTATTTTGCTGTATAAGATTTACACATGAATGCCTTTTGACCTGCATACATCTGCAAAAAGTGCATACATGTCTGCAGGTTACTTACTGTATGACCTCTTAGCCTGGAAAAATGTGGTGGTATACATATACCATATACAGGGATTATTACTTCTGCTTGTGGAGCTATATAAAAGCAGAAAAAATGAGCTTTTGCTATTCAGAAAATACCTTTGGCTTGAGGTAAAATGATCTAATGCACAAATGAAAAAGCCCATGTCCTAAAAATGAAAATGCTGGAATGCTCTTTGCTTGGTCAGCAACGGGTACATCAGTTAAAAAGCACTTCACTTTGAATCTGAAGACCTCAATCACTTGATGCTTCTTAGAACACTTGGAACACCTGCCCAGCACCAGACCTTTATTTCAGAAATAAAGGGGAGGCTCCTAAATGGAAAGAGGGAGAGATGCTGAAGTAAACTAAGACTATAAAAGAGGCTAGAAGATATGAAGTAGCACAGAAATTCTTTTCTAAAAAGTGTAGGATATGTTGAAGTATACAGGATACTGCTGAAGTATGCAAGAGCAAGTGGCCTAAAACTACCTGTGGGCATTTAAGCAGGAAAAAAGTAGGCAATTGCCAGAGCCCAAGAAAGGGAGAAGACAGATAATCAAACCATTGTGTGTATGGGTTCAGAGCACTGTGGGAAAGCACTTGGAGAACTGCCATCACAGCAGGTAGTAGATACAACCCCACAAATAACGTAGGCTGAAGTTACTGCTGATAAACATATCAAGAGAAGGAGGAAAAATAATTAGGTTTTTTTTAGTCCATAAATCTATAAATAGATTATATAGTTGAATCCAGATGTTTTTACTGCATTGCAACAAGTCATATAGTATGAAGGAAGCCTTCCTGTAGACAAGTTTTCAACACAGTTTTGACCAATATTTGAAAGGCTAAAAGCTGTCTTCTGGTTCATTACTCAGTATTCTGATGCTTCAGTATTCTTCCCCTCTTCCTCCTCAGATTTTAAAGCAGTCCCCATTCTTGTTCATCTTGAGCAGACAGTGTAAGATTATTTTAGTTACACAGATAAATTATAAATTTGTGGCATACATGCTTGTACATCCCTGAATAGTTGAATCCTGCTTTTCTCCTTTGTTATTCCACTTGTGAGAATTAACATCCTGGGCAAGCAGCATTAGAGAGACATGAGCAAGGTAAACCTTGGTAAAAGAGTAAAAACAAAGCTGAAGAACTGTTTTGTTACTTCCTTCAACACAAGGATCCTGCATCAGATTAAACCTATGACTATGGTCTTCTAGAGAAGGCTTTTTTATCTACTGTTGCTGAGGGAAATACAAAGGAGAGGCATTAAATTTAAAGTACTCGGGTTTATGATCTCTCATACTTGCAGGAAAACTTGCTTCAAATTCTTAACATAAAAGGTTTCCCATATACAGTGACGTGGTGGCCTGTCGGTATTTCTTACTCCGGTATTTTTCTAGTTGTTTTTTTTTATTTACATAATTTTCTGTCTGGGTTACTTCAGTGTAGAATGTAGAATTCTGATGAAATCTTTAGTTTTGGTACACAGACTGAGTAAATGTCTGTGTGTTTTTCTTCATGCAAAAAGCATCACTAGACTTAGAAGGAACTTTGCCACTTGTTCAGTTCTTAGCCTGTACTCCTCTGTGCAGGTATCTGGTGTTTTCTGATGTCAGTAAGACTGTCAAGTTGACAAACTACTGTTAATTTGGGTTGGTCTAGCATAGAAGAAAGAAAATCAGTTGACTAAAATTATTTTATTAAACCAAGAGCCTAATGAATTTCTTTTATCTTTACAGACTGTTGGGAATATTCTGGAAATGCGCCAGGATTGGTAATTTTTTTTTTCTTTGAAATCTTTAAGACCAGTGCTTTTTCTAGAATATGGATTATTTATTAGAATAATGTTTCCATGTAGCAATGAAACCCATTCTCATAAATCGTATCAAAAAATGCAGGTTTTACTTCCATGGGATATTATCAAAGGGGCGGGGAAACAGGGTATGACTACCTTATTTAGCATCATGGAAGCCTGCATTTTCCAATGTCAGTTCATGTATGTGATGCTATATTTGCAAAAATCTTCTGCACTTTTTACTACATGAAATAACCAACAGCATATTTCTTACTAATATACAAAGAAATCAGTGATTCCTTATACATTGCTGTCTATTTGAAATTCTAATGGACTACTGACAAAAGCCAGATATTTACCTTAAAGTAATAAAACAACATGGAATTTATAATGCAGTAAGGTTCTATTTAATCACAGATGTCTTTTGTCTCTCCTTTCTTCAGTTAACTTCTGTACACTTTTGAATTACACAAAGCTGTTGGTGTCCAAGTGGCATTTATATGAAGGCTTATCAGTTTATCTGTTTTTAGGCGTTTGCCCATAACATTGGTATTTATGTTTACATTTATTTTATTCCTTATTCTGAATTTCTTTTGAGAGGGTAATGGGAATATGCAGTTTAAGTCAACTTAGACTAAGTTCAGACTTAGCATTAAGGTATATGCAAGAACTTTAAAAAATTACAAATCCATCATCAAAACAATATTCTTCAAATTGCATTGTTAATGCAGAGCAGAAACATTGAACTTGTAATTCTAGTTCTTCCTACTTGTCACTGAACCTAAAGGAAAATTGTATGGTTCCCTTTTCTGCATTCTCAGGCTTTGAAAGGGACATGACATACTTTTTTTTCCCTTTAGTATGTCAAAAAGCATTGACGTAAAACCATTTTTTTGTGAAGACCTGTTGTTAAAATGATTGCAGAGATCGTCCTATTTAGATAATAGACATTACAGAACCAATTTTGTATTGTAATTGAAAGATAATGGCAAGGTGGCAGCTGTCAGAAATGAATTTTGAGCTATACCAGGAAAAACAAATGTAAAAATTCAGCTGCATTAAGGTTTGTTCAGGGTTGAACAGAGCACCTTACCATACCATCTTCTTTCTAGTTAAGTAAGTGCATATTTTTTCTATTAGCTATGCACACAAACAATTTGAAAGTACACGAGAGGTTTTGTGAGGTGCCTGTCAACTTGATAAAGTTAAGAACTGCAGTTCATCTGGAACATAGTCTTGCTTTCCCGTCGTGGTGACATTAACATGGTGGTGTTTGCTGCATCCCAGGTGATGTGTGCACCCTTGTGCCCTGTACTGAACTGCTTCCTTTTTGTGTAAAACACTCATTTCTTTCCAACTTACATCCAGAGTAGTCCGATTTCACTTTCTTTTAGACTGACAGATGAGAAGGTAGCATCCCAACATTCCTTCTGAATGTTTCCTTACATATCAGTACCATATCCTCAGTATGGGAAATGGGCTTTGAAGATGATGCCTATCATTTTATTTCTGTTAATCACAAAGGCATGTAGAAAGTGTAGGCTTTCAAAAATGAAAATGCCTGCTGGCTTTCTTTACATTTAACTTGCCCAGTGTGTTTGAACAACCTTTTCACATGTGCATAAGATTTTAATAACCAGCAAGTGGTTACATATTTACAAAGTTGTGCAAAATTATGTTTAATCCTGCCACATGTTGATTTCTCTTTTATGAAAATTAAGAGCAGGAAAGTATAACCCATATGAAAATTGTAATACTCTAAACTGTAGGAGGTGGACTTCCTCAAAAATTTATTTTAAACAGATGTGAAACTGCAGACATTAATTCATTCAGTTATTTGAAGTTTAATTAAATTTATGCCAGATCATGACAACATCTTGTACTGTCACCGTGGCAGGCACTCCTGCTTATGGGAGGCGTCACTACAAGTATTTTATTTTTCTTTTGCTGTGGAAAGTTTGTTCCTCCTGTATTTGAAGGTCTTGCTAGGAAAAGACACTTGTTTTTTTCCTGAGGATTACACCTGAATGCTAGACTTGGAAGCCTTGGCAGGTTTTTTTTGTTTAATGTTCCTCTGAAACCTGTGTGTCAGAAAAGATGGTTTATAGTTAGACAAAAGACCTCGCACGGCAAAAGGAAATTGAAGTTTGTTTGTTTAAAGCAAACAACTCCAGCTCTGTCTTTATGCTTCTCTACGCATAAAAGCAGGAATCCTCTCACTTTAAAGGGTCATTGCTGTGTTAATACTACCTGACAGTTGTGTACGGTGGAATTACCAACCACTGTGGGTGACTCTGCTCTCCAGAGAGAAGTTAGTGGATTCCTTAAGAGTAATGCTTAACTAGAAGAGTAAAAATGCCTGGCTAATTAAGTGGAAGTGTAATAGGTGGCAGTCTGATTAACATTACTAATATGCCCCTGATTGTGTTACAGTTGTCTACCTAAGAATCACTTCTTTTCATACTTAATTTGGTGAACGAGAGGCATCTGTAACATTTTGTTTGGGAGCAAATGGGTGGGAAAAGGTCTTTCTTGATTGCCTTTGCCACCAAATATAAGTCTGTTAATGGAGTAAACTTAATTTTTATGCATGGTCTGCCCCGGAAAGCTAATTTGAAAGAGTTCAGCAATAGAGTTGTCTGTGCAACTTCTGTAATCTGTTGACCATTTTTATCACTAACCTGAAAATCTGTGGACCAGACATGGTCCACATGCTATCAGTATTACATCTCTCCAGCAAAGAAAAAAAGACAGGCATCTGGCCATGCCTGGGCTGCTGTGAGCTCCCCAGCCAGTTAGCAGGCTCCTGCATGATAGCATGAATAGAGGATAGGAACTGCATATAGCAGCTGTCATGGCCAGACAGCATCGAGGTGCACCTCTTCTTGGCTGACATAGAACAGCTTTCCAGCAGCGATAGCCTTTAGCCAGAGCTGGGAACAGAGCCAGTACAAGATTTGGTGTCTTGATCAGCTTTCCAGTGCCTGCCTCTATCACACTAAGAGAGAGCAGCAAAATATATATATATATATATATATATATATATACACATACACGCACTGGGATTACCTGATAAAACATAAGGGGTGAAGTGACAGTTCTGTTTAACATAGCTGTTATTTGAATCAAGGGTTTCAGAGCAGCTTTCTTTTTTTTTTTTATAATTGTATAAAGATTTGATTATTCTTTTTTTTTTCTCGTAGGGATGTAGTGCATTATTGAGGGGTATGTTACAATGTTGGTCGATCTTGTAAAAATGCAGTTTTGTACAACAAAGTATTTTGTATTGATTTTTTTTCTGCCTGCAGAATTGCCATAAAAGGGATTTTTCTTATTTCCTAGATGTAGGGTGTGTGTACACAAACTATAATATTGATATCAGACATGTTGCTACCGGGTGGGTGTGGACAATATTCCTGTGTGTGTGTGTGCATGCGTGTTACCTTGACCGGCAGTGTGTATTTTTTATATATATATATATATTTTTTTTTTTTTTTTTTAAATGTTTTCCTGGAAACTGCATCTCAGAAAAGATGGTTTATAGTAAGATAAAAGTCCTTACATTCACCTACTGACCTCTGCTTACAGCACACAGCTGCAACTCTGTGTAGCACTATATCTTAGCAGATATCTAACTATATCTTAGCAGTAGATCCTGCGTCTTAGTTTTCCCACTCCCACGTATTGAGGGAGATCCTCAATACAGAGCTGTAATAGCATTTCTTCAGCTAGAAATGTGGAAATGTTGCATATTAAAGGATTATTAAGCACTGGAATGGGCTGCCCAGGGAAGTGGTTGAGGCACCATCCCTGGAGGTTTTCAGAGGCTGGGGTGACAGTGCTTAGAGATATAGTTTAGTAATGCAGGGTGGCTTTTTATTTTTTTTTTTTTGTTGTTTTTTTATCAGAGTGAGGTTGATGGTTGGACTAGATGATCTTAAAGGTCCCTTCCAACCTAGACGACTCTATGATTCTATGGTTAATTTGCATGTGCAATGGGATAATTACCATCTTAGGCGAGGAGCAGCCTAGATCTGTTTAGTCATGCCTGAATTTTTGTGTGGTTTGGTTTTTTCTCCCCTTCCTCTCAGGTGAGCGGAAGAGCCCTTACGTGGCTGTGTGCTGTGTGGTGATGGCCTTCAGCATTCTCTTTGTACAGTAGCGACTGGAGAGTGTCCCCTGCGCCCCGCTACCAAACAGCAGAGCATGGAAGACCTTCTGGCAGGAAGAGATGGGAAAGTGTCATCAAGTCTCCTCTGGCATGTCGGGTAGCCTGTCTCTTAGTGGACACCCCCCACTCCTGCAAACGGACCATCCTGTACAGTATTAGTGATCATAACGTAACCAACTCCAGATGACATTAATGTCAAGTCAGTACTGACACTCCTGATGTAACTCTTGAAAGGGTGTCTGCAGTTACCCAAGTTCCAGGGGAGCTTTTTTTTACACCACGCAGTTGAAAGAGCTTTTTAATTTTTCGTTTGATAGACCTATTTAATGAAAATTAATAGTGATAAATCTAGCAATAGCAATAAGACCACTCTTGTAAAAATAAAGAACATTGTGACTCTAGGATATGTTTATGAAAGTATTTTCAATTCTTACTGTCTCATTTTGTGATAGCTATACTTGCATACCAAAAATATGGCCTCTGGCCTAAGTTGCATTCAGCCTTTGGTTTCTAAACTGGTAATTCCTCAAATAATTTATCAATATTTTTATTGTTAGGATATGAATAAAGGCAGGGACCATAATAGCAGTGATGTCTGACTAGCTGCTGCGACGACACAGATGTGGGATTTGAGAACATGTACTGCTCTCTGTAACATATCGTATATATCCATTTTTAGAGATCTAGGTCTCAGGTAAACCATTCCCCAGTTTTTTTCAATATTGTGAGGAAAGGATTCTAAAGGCTCTGCTGCTGTTGTTGCATGTAATACAAGGTTGCTAAATCAGCTAAGTGAACAGTTAGCTTCTTAGTAATCTGCAGATAAGGAAGTTACATGTCCCAATGTTCTAAAGGTTGAAGAAAACAACTAAATTAGATTACATTCACTATTAATAAAGATTAGATTACTGTCAGTAATACTTTCTATCAGCATTTATTCTATAATTTTGCAAACTTTCAGTAATCTAGTAATTTATTTTAATAGTGCCTGAGAAGTGTGTTTACACCAGACAACTACATGACTTCGCATTGACTGCATGAGAGAGTTTTCTGTCAGCAGTACTTTTTGTTGTTCTGAAAAGGTCTGTGATCAAAATGAGCTAAGTTGGCAATAAAACACTTTGAAAGGTATGTAACTGTTGTCATTCTTGTTTTAAAAACTTGTTTCATAGATCCAGATTACCCTGCATTTAGAAAAGAAGGTGATTATTAGTTACTACCTTGGTATTGTCTCACATATAGCTGTGTTACCTAAACCACCATCAGAAGTACTAGTCCAAAACTCTTCTCTAATCTGGAGATAGGAAAAATAGATACCTCCAGTGTAAGCCAAATGAATAGCCCTGGTTGTGAGCCAGGCGGATTCAGAGGAGTGCTGAGCTGTGTGAGATGACCGTGTTGTGCACACATAGAAGCTCTAAACTGTGCAGGGGATCTGGGCAGAGGCAAAACCTGCTTCTCTAATTTTAAATGTGGATGCTGCTCCAAACATAGCATCAAAGTAACTAATTTCTGGATTTCAAAGGTGCAATTCCTAGTCTGGGGGGAGGGAAATTCCTAAGGAGTCTTGGGTTTTGACTGTTGGGTGGATACCTTTTCAAAATATGCAAAGAATCATCTGATAATGTTTTGTATTAATCAGTTCTAGGGTTCGATATTTATGGGCCTTTATTACAAATAAGGGTGTTTAGGTAATATTCACACATTTCCAATTCATGCGAAGCTGTTCTAGTTATCAGAGTAGTTCTTAATAATTCGTTACCGTTAGCTGTGACTAGGAAAACCAGTGAAACAGCCCAAGAAAATGTTTAGTTCCGAGAATCTGAAAACTACTGACAGGAAGGCATTGTATTGTAAGAGCCTTTCCTGTTCAATGGCATTTTATCACTGAAGAAGTTGAGACAAACAGGCCTCTTGCTGCGTAGCATTTGTTGTTCAAACTTTAAAATTGTTTCTTACACGTCAGTTGTCCCTGTTGTCCTAAATGCAGGTCATTGATGGGTACTTGCTAGTTTGGCATTTTGGTTGTTTTTTTTTTTCCACCATCTGCCTGGTTGCTCAGCAGTGCTGCTTCAGCAGCAAAGTGAATGGCACATTTCTCACCACTGCTGGCAATACCTGAGTTCAGCAGCACCAGGCTATATCCAAGGGTTAGAAATGATTGTAAGGCAGAGGTAAGGGTCACCTGTGGTGGGGCCACTTGCCTCTAGTAGAATTATCTGAAAACAGGGTCTTTAAACTGTGACAAACTTCAGTTGTTTTGAAATGACTGCTTTAGGCAGGTGTTTGCCACATCAGGAGGAGTTCTTTCAAAGTTTTTCAAAGTTTTGGCTCTGAAGAGGTTGATACCTCATGTCTTTTCCTAAGATATGAAGGAAATACTGTTTTCCCATATTAGAATCTTAAAGCCATTTTGCTTTCTTTGCTTTTTTTTTTTAAGGAAAAGAGACATGAGAAACCAAGAATACCTTGACATATGACCAAGGTATAAACGCTGTGACAAGGAAGAGGAGAGTATAGCTTTGGGCACACACACTTGGTAAAGCTTTACCACAAGTCATCCTTAAACTCTGAGCCTCAACTCTGTCGTTTTCAAAGAGCAATAAATAAGTTCCAGAAGATGTGTCAGGAGAAAATAGTCTTTTCTTGCACTCAGCCTTTGCTCTGAGTCCAAGGCTGAGTAGAGAAGTGAAATGCTTACTGCTGAATGATTTAGGTGCCAAAGCAGCCTAAAATGGCAGATAACAGGAGTAAGATTTGACACAATTTTACAGAATAGATAAGGGCTATCAAAATCATAGAATCATAAATTGCCCAGACCGGAAGGGACCTCCAAAGGTCATCTAGTCCGACCTCCCCGCAGTCAGCAGGGACACCCCCAACTAGACCAGGTTGCCCAGGGCCTCGTCGAGCCTCTCCTTGAATATCTCCAGGGATGGGGCCCCAACCACCTCCCTGGGCAACCTGTTCCAGTGCTCCACCACCCTCACAGTGAAGAACCCTCTCCTCATCTCCAGTCTAAATCTGTTCCCCTCCAGCTGGAAGCCATTTCCCCTCGTCCTGTCACTGCAGACCTTTCTAAATGGGTTCTCTAAAAATAATATATATATATATAAAAAAGAAAAATAAAAGATAGATAGATAGATAGATAGATAGATAGATAGATAGATAGATCGATCTATAAGGGCTAGATAAGGGCTATCCTCAGCAGGTGGCTGAGGAAACAGGAGTGGGAATTTCTGGCTGAAACATTGGAGCCTACAGCCACAGCAAGTCTGAACACCTTAGCCTAAGTAGACATGCTGGAAGGGGGTGAATGGAACAGTGATTAAATATGCTATAGTTGTGTCCACTACTGTAGAAAAGTAATTCCATGTTGGGACATCATCTTTTTTAGCTAAACAACACCATGGATGGCGGCTGCAGCATCTGGCAGCTTCCCCGTCTGTGCTTGTTGCACACACTGCTTGAAAGGTGAGGGTGACGCAGGCTGTGGTTTGAAGTGCAGGTCACAGGAGGGGTCACATCTGTTCCTCCCCACTAATGAGACAACAACGAGAATGCAGGATTACAGAAAAACATTTTCCAGTAAAAAAACAGCGTACCTTGGATCAAGATTGTGCAACTTGGGAAATAGCAAGTGTTCTCCCTCCTAAGAGCTGCGTGGGCAGAAGGAACAGGTATGGACCCTACATCTTGTGCTTGGTGGATGTTGCTCTCTCCCACAGCACTTCATGTGTGTGGTTCCAGGTCGTAGAGATGTCCCCAAGCTGTCCTGTGGGCTGATAGTCACAGGCAAGAGCAGGAGTCCAGCTGCCAGCCCTCCCTTCTCGGGCACCCACTGAATAGCTGTATTGCTACAGCTCCACTAAAGGTATACCAAACCAAAATTTGCTAAACTGGCACAAATTAGCAACCCCGGGACAAAACATGGCAATCTATTCGGTGTATGCAAATCCAAATCTGCTGCTTAACGATGTAACTAATAATAAATGAATGCAGTAAAACCTGAAACAGGATGTGTTGCTCTTTGTTTGTACCCTTGCATGTACTTGCTATGGATTAGTGGTGTATTAACTTTCATCCACGTCTGCACTCTAAATGACCTCAAATTCAAAGCAGGGATTTAGGAAGACTAGATTGAAAAGCAGTAATGGCCATGTTGGGAAATGAGTAAAGCATGAGTAAGAGGTGGGATGGCCATAGAGGTCTGATGTTCTGGAGAGACTGATAAGCACACGGGCAGACAGAGCTAGTGGAGGAGGAAACAAAAAGTGGAGTCCAAGGATTTCATATTCTTGGAACAGTGTTACTGTTCTACGAATGCCCTTTCTACCTCGTTAACCGCAGCCAGCGAGCAGTGGAAATACACTGTCACCGAGGGGTGAAGTTGCAGTGGGGTAGAGGAAATAATTACTCTGTTAGTGCTTTGAGGCTTTTATTCTTTTCATTTCGTTCACCAGCTGAAACAATTCATGTTGCCTGAGAAGACAACACATTATTCACAGATAAAGCGACCTGCAGTCATTCCCTGCAGCCCCTAGAAGCTTAAATGTACCATTCTGCAGTGGACAGTTAGGAATACAGCGGAGGATTGCTGTCACTTCCAGCAGTATGACTGGTGTTTTCCCACCACTGACCCCCCCCCAAATCATTTCTGGATCTCAGATCACTACTTTCAGTCGAAGCCACCCTTTTCATCCTTCTCAGTGTCTCAGTAAGGGTGATGTGGCACAATGTCTCCAGTCCTACCCCGTTGACATCAGTGGGAGAGCCTGGCGCCTAGCGCTTAGAAAGGCTCACCAGGATCTAGTGATTCCTTCTCCCTTCTCCCTTTCATGCCAGAAACACTCTCTGGAGAAAAGAAAACTAAAAGAAAACCAACAGAAAAGAAAACCAACATCTTCTTAATAGATTAAAATGCTAACCTTGGTAAAAAAACACCAGAAGCCAGGAAAATGTGATCTAAACCTGCTTCTCATACTCACATGGCAACTTTACATTATCTAGTCAAAACATTCCCAATGAAGGACGGTTTTCCAGCCTGCTTTTTTTTCCTGCCTTTTCTTTTGTTCTGGTTGAACATTGTTAGTCATTCCAGGCACAGCTGATGAGTGCTTTCAGTGTGCATTACGAGGCCCGTATAGATTCCACATGTATTTGATGGCTCTTGGTTAGCTAGAAAAGTAGTTTTCCCTTAGCTCACGTAATGCAATGTAATCAGCATGATGGGTACGGAAGATACAGCTACACATTGAAAAAAAGGTTTTGAACATGTGGCCTGAATTGTTTGCTTGACTACAGTTCATTTATTTTATAAATAATACCTTTTTTCATGATGCCCTAAGGTCATAAGGAAGGCAAAATGTGTGGAGAAAAACAGTCATTCCATGAGAGCTGCTGACAGTTGGAAAAAAATACATGCTTTTGGACAGGGAAGACCTTCTTCAGCTCCAAAATGACAAAATCTCACACAAAGAACTAACGTATCCTCGGTTTTTAGTTTGTCAACTCGTGTTTCAAACCTGAAGGGCTTGTGTGCCCAAAGGCACGTCTATTTTACGCAGTCAATCAATGTCTGACAAGATCTAACGTATCTCCAGACAGCTTCTGCCTGGAGTTTCATGACCTCCTCGTGGGCTGATAGATGACAGGTAGTCCTCAGTAAAGCAACCTGGTAACTCAGAGTGCTCCCTTCTGTTTTGCTGTTTGGCAGCGGGAGCCCAAGCTCCTCTGGTGAAACATCAGCCAGGCTGAGTCTTCACTCAGGCGTCAGAGGCTTCGGCAGCAAAATAACCTTTGGCACCACAGCTCACCCATTGCTTCCCACCACACAAGAACCAGTAGCTGGAGGAAGATTGTGGAAGGCGTCGTTAATCTAAATCAGAAAGGCCTTCCGAAAGGAGCGTGTTACGAGCTCGCGGAGTTCCCACTGGCGTGGGAGTGGAGCGCCAACGTTTTCTCAAGGATCTGGGTATAAACATTTCCAGTGACACAGCTTCTCCTGCCAGCTCCCCGGTATGTCAGTAGGGAAGATAATTACTTAATGGGCTCCTCTGTCAAACGCAAAACTTTTCTACGAGAGCGCCTCATCGCATCACATCATTTCCGTTACTTGAAAGGGCTCTCTG